AATAGGCATCGAGAAAGCTGAGAGTCTCGTGGCCGGCCGCGGCGTCGATCATACGATCGATATTAGGCAAAGGAAAAGAATCCTTAGGGCATACTTTATTCAAGTCTTTATAATCTATACACATTCTAAGCTTGTTCCCCTTTTTAAGGACTACCGCCATATTTGCTAGCCACTTGGGGTATTTTACTTCCCGAATGGACCCTATTTTAAGAAGTTTGGTTACCTCGTCTTTGATGAAGGCATGTTTGACTTCGGACTGGGGCCTTTTTTTTGTTTTACCGTGTGGAACTTTGGGTCCAAGCTTAGCTTATGAGTGGTGATTCCCGGTGGGATCCCTGTCATGTAAAGATGGGACCAAGCGAAATAGTCTATTTTAGCTATAAGAAGTTGAATAAGCTTTCTCCTGAGATCGGGATCTAACCCCGTGCCAAGGTATACCTTTCGTTCAGGAAGATATTCGACTAGTATGACTTGCTCCAGTTCTTCGACCGTTGATTGGGTAGCGTCAGAATCATCGGGGACCATGAAGGATCGAGGGACTCCATGTTCATCATCTTTGTCACTCTTCTTATTCTCTAATTGGTTCGAAGCTGACGTTTGTGATTGCTATTTGGTATTATGTTCCTTCTTCGAACCCGATCATTTTGCTGATGATAATGATGATATCGGAATCACTTCATTGACGGCAAACATTTCTTTTGCGGCCGGTTGCTCCCTATAGACCGTTTTGATCCTTCCGATGTTGGGAACTTCAAAACCTGGTGGACGGTCGAGGGTACAACCCTCATAGTGTAAATCCACGGTCTTCCGAACAGGGCGTTGTATCTCATATCGCCTTCTATCACGTGGAACTTCATTTCTTGGATGGTCCCGGCCATGTTAACTGGCAGGATTATTTCGCCCTTAGTAGTTTGACATTCCATATTGAATCCGTTTAGTAACAAGGTTGCGGGCACGACCTGGTCCTGTAGACCGAGTTGCTCCACGACCCTCGATCGAATGATGTTGGGAGAACTACCTGGATCAATTAACACACGTTTAACTTGAGTTTTATTCATAAGTACATATATTACCAGTGCATCATTATGTGGTTGCATGATTCCTTCCGCGTCTTCGTTATTAAACGACAAGGTTCCTTCAGGGGTGTAATCCTGAGTCCGAGATCGCTTTTCTCTTACAATCGACATCTTAGTGCATTTAAGCACCGGCCCTGGGGGTATCAATCCCACCCATGATCATGTTGATGATGTGTTGTGGCTCTTCTTGTTCGTTTTATCTACTGAAATCCCTATTTTTGAAATGGTTTTTGGCCCTGTCACTTAAAGATTCTCGAAGGTGCCCTTTATTGAATAACTGGGCTACCTCCTCTCTCAGTTGCCTGCAATCTTCCATTCTGTGGCCATGAGTGCCATGATATTTGCACATTTGATTGGGATTCCTCTGGGCAGGATCGGTCTGCAGAGGTCGAGGCCATTTAGTATCTTTAATACGTCTGATAGCCGACATGATGGAGGATGCATCGATGCTGAAGTTATACTCTGATAACCGTGGTGCTTCCTTACGTCCGGTATGCTTGTCAAACCCATTCCTGTTCATCATCCCCTGAGACCCTTGGCCTAGATCATTTCTCCTTTCACCTCGTACTGGGTTGCGTGAAGGTTCGCTACCCCTACGATCACCGTTATATGGCTGATATCGATCCTTATTTGACCTTGGTTCTCGGTCGAGATCCCTTTTAATAACGGACCTAGACCCCAACTGGTCGTCTTCAACTCTGATCTTCAATTGGTATCGATTGTGTACATCGGCTTAAGTAATAGCTGGGTACTCGATCAAATTCTGTTTTAACTGTCGTGAAGCCATCGAGCTCCGCTCGTTCAGTCCTTGAGTGAAAGCTTGTACAACCCAATCGTCAGTGACCGGTGGTATATCCATTTGTTCTGTTTGGAAACGAGATATGAACTCTCTTAGCATCTCGTTGTCCTTCTGCCTTACCTTGAAAAGGTCCGACTTCCTGGTCTCAGCCTTTATTTCTCCGGCGTAGGCTTTCACGAAAGAATCTGCAAGGATAGCAAAAGAATCGATAGACTTAAACGGTAAATTATGATACCATATCATTACTCCCTTTGACAGGGTTTCACCAATTTTTTTTCAATAATATAGATTCGATCTCATCGACCTCTAGATCGCTCCCTTTAATGGCACATGTGTAAGAGGTGACATGTTCGTTGGGGTTGGTCGTTCCATTATATTTAGGAATTTCGGGCATGCAAAACTTCTTTCAGATTGGTTTGGGAGCCACGCTCGGGGGGAAAGGCTTTTGTACAATTTTTTTTGGAATCTAAGTCCTTCAATATCGGCGGTTCCCCTGAGATATGATCAACCATGGAGTTATACGTTTCCACTTTTTTGTCGTTTGCTTGGATCCTCCTTTCTCCTGACTCTATTCGTTTTGTCAGTTCTTCAAACATCTTAATAATTTCGGGATTAGTCCTCGATTTTTGCTCGTTTGACCTTACTATAGTTGGCCCCATTTTGTGGGTGACTTCTTGGGGTGGACTGGGCTCGAGTCTGGTCGGTGCCTGGTGTGGCTCTGCAACTGGGCTATTTTTACTTGTTGAGCTTGCAATATATCAAAAATCATACGTAAGCTGATTCCGTTTTCCTCAACGTTTTGGGTATTTCAAGTTGCAGACCGAGTTCCACCATGAATGCTATTTTCAGGGTCGGAACGTTGGTTTGCCTTGATGGCCGCATGTGAATTAACGTCTTTTGGCTCTTCGACCCGAGCTCCAACGGGATCGACGAGTGGCCTTCCACCCCCGGGGGTTAAGTTGTTGTTCTCATCTTGAAGGCCTACTTCGTTGTCGATTGGTAGGGCCATTAATTGAGAATTCATCGTTTTCAACATGAAATCAAAGATACTTCTAAGAGCAAGTGTAAAATGGTGTGTTTTGCAGAGATTCGTACCAAATAACCACTGTTATCCTTAGCCCCACGGTGGGCTCCAAACTGTTTACCCAAAAAACGAATAGAGTTGAATTTATACGTAGTTCTAAGGATACGTGGTATAACTTGGCACAAATTGAAAAGTAAGTAAAAATATATTGAGTATTTACTGTATAAAGAATGAAATACAAACCAAATTGAGTGAAAAACAGTTTATGAACAAGCAAGACGAATTAATAAACAAAACCCAAAAAGGATAATCTCTATATGAATATCAATAATATGAGAGTGTATGAATGCCATAATGTTGGATCTCCTTACAGAAATAGTAGCTATCCCTCTTAGTGTGGAGGAATCCTATTTTAGATGTAATTAAAAATAGATAGTGGGGATCCCATGATAGATTAGCTTTTTCTTAATTCCCGTCGAGATTATCTCCCTTAGTGCGATGGTAACGACTCTTGTCTCTTGGCTCGATCTTGGTCGGATTTGGTATTGGTCGATTTTCATATTTAGAGCTCGATATTAACTCGAGCTCGATATTGACTCGGGGCTCGGTATCGAATCGGACTTGATATTGGCCGGTCTCTGGCTCTTAAGCTCGATGGCACCACTTCACTTCATAGTTTGACTTGGACTCGAGCTCGGTAATGACTTCGAGCTCGGTATTTGATCGGTCCCAGAAATTTGAGCTTGGTAACTTAGATTCAGATCTCATCTCGATATTATAAAGATGACCTTCGGTCCATTATGTTCCAATCTTGACTAATCATACGAAGGTCGAAACCGGTTTTGACCGTATACACCATTTTTCTTAATGTGTACATAAGCTTTAAATCACACTACTCAGCGGCGTAGCCAGGTAGAGTGAATGGTATTTAGTTGAGCACCCTTTGATAAAAAATTATACTCTATTGAGTATATAAAAAATTATACTAGTAAGTCAAAAACTACTTTTCACCCCCTCTCCCTAGGTTGCTTTACATGGTACTTTCTCTAGATAGTTTATATGACCTTATTTACTTTTTGGACTATCTAAAAAATGACCCTTTTTATATTTGAAAACTATTAACTTAAACCTTTTCATTTTAACCACTAATAAAAATTCGACCAAAATATTGGTTGGTTTAACAAAATATTTTCTTTTAATTTTTTTTTACGAAACCGATCGAATTCGATCGGTTTAGTTTTGCGCTAAAATGCGAAAAATTATTTTTGCACTCCGGAAAATTTATTTTTCAAGAATCATCGATGATCTAGTGGTAGAATAGTATCCTGCCACAGCACATGTCTCGGTACGATTCCCAGATGGTGCATCTTTTAATTACATAATTAAAAAAAATCGATCGAAGTCTGTCGAAAAAAAACGAACGACTAGTCAAATATTTTTTGGTCGTTTGTAGAATTTAGTTGACCGACTGAAGTCGGTCGGTTTTTTCTGTTAAATATTTTTTTCGTCATTTGTAGAATTTAGTTGACCGATCAAAGTAGGTCGGTTGGCTTTACCGACCGTCACGAATCGGTCGGTTTTCGATCGATTTTTGCCAATTACCGAACATCGGTCGATTTTCGGTCGATTTTTGCCATGTTTTTAATAGTGAACCTTGATACTTAATAAATTTTATGACCATACAAATGTTATGATATGCTTACACCACAAATTAAAAAATCATCTCTTTTTTAATCCGTGCCCAATCAAATTAAATAGGTTCAATACATAAAATTAAAAGGGACGAAATATATTTAACAAATTTCATGCAGAGCATATTTCTTGTTCCCTTTCCCTTCAGCTTCTTGGCGGTTTTAAGATTATTAAACATAAGAAATATCACACTAACTGATGAGGTCTTGCTCAATGTTTAGAACTTATTCCCTTTAAACAATTAACTGAAATTTTTTTGAAACTTGGTTAGTAGTTAGCGTACTCGCAGAAGGTCGTAAATGACTAATTTGAGCCCAAAAGAGAATTACGCCAACCAGAAATACAGGAAAAAACCAAATTAATGAAGTATCTCTTGAAAAAACAAACACACATAGGAAAACAGACGAAATAATAATAATAATAATAATACACATTAATTCTCCTCCATCATCAAAATAGAAAAAAGTACAGAATCAATATATAAGATTTGTCATTTGTCAACACCTCCCCCACCCCAATAAAAAAGTATTAATATCAAAATTCAAAAGCCTTCTCCCTCAAGCCAAACTAAAGAACGAATTTTCGACTGCAGTAAACACTAAAATATTATCACAGCCTGTAGTCCAATCTTCAGAAAGTCACTGAGAATATTCCTTGGCAACCGGAACTTCGTCCCTTCCTTTATAGCCCATCGCGAGAAAGGTGAATGCCCTGATCATTAACATTTATAGAGAGTTATAAGTTACACCTAGGGTGACAAATAGACGGGTCGGGTCGGATATGGTCAGGTTGAAAACGGGTAATACAAAAACGGATAATTATCCGATCCGACCCATATTTAATACGGATAAAAAACAGGTTAATCGGTGGATAATATAAATATCCATATTAACCATGACTTTTTGAATATGACAACTTTTGGAAGAATTCCTAATCACCCAAACTTGAATAACCCCCAATTTGAAGCTTTACAAACGTAAAAGTTAAACTCATTAGTTATTCATTTTCTAAATGGATAATATAGTTTTTATTCATATTTGACCCGTTTTTAAAAACTTCATTATCCAACCCATTTTTTAGTGGATAATACGGGTGGTTAAGTATTTCCTTTTAACCATTTTGCCGCCATTAGTTACACCACTGAATGACATACTTAGATCATGAGTTAATTTAGAGGTCGAACGGCTACATTTGTTTATCATACAATAATTAAATTACGAATACTTATCAAGAAGTAGAAGAAGAAAGTTGGTAGTACCGCAGACGAGAAAGCTCAAGAGCTCGGCCGGGACGAATCCCAAGGATGATTGATCCGCCTTTTTCATCAGGAGTTTCGTAGATGATGATTTTTGGAAAGATCATGAATGTTTGTGGAGTCACGCGCTGAACGAGCTTCCCATTTACATCGTGAACCTCTATAATTGAGGGTCTTCTGAATAACTTGTTCCGTCTAAAGAATTTCTGCGCCGAGAAAACCTTTATCTCGTGGGCATCCAGTTTAATCACAAGACCGTATTGGCCTGGTAGCGCATAGAGGAACCTTTCCTTTAGAAACACAGGACTTGTGCCTCTATTTTCAACCTGGACTACTACCTCCAAAGGATTCATCAAATTCTTTATTACTCTTGGTTACAACCTTTCGCGTAATAATCTTACACTGAGAATATTCAACCTAGCTAGGTTATAACTTTTTGAATTTTTGAGAAATTTAAAGTTTACGAAGAGGATGATATATGTGGAGAGCCTCAGTAGCAACGATGCCACGGCGGTGCTGGTGGGATCATTGAGTGTTGGTGCTTCAGTCGTTTGTTTGAAGCTGGGAGAGGATATTTTTGTTGGATCATGTGAGGATGACTTACGGAGTGACCTTAATTGGTTTGATGTGAGCTTAATTGTGATATGAGCTTAATTGAAGCAGTAGCCGACTCTAATTTACTTAGAGAATGAAATACGTATAGTTATTGTTATGTGAGGAATTAGATCGAATGAATTTGAAATACTTGTGCAAAACGTGACCCTTATATAAGAAAAATTAAATGAAACAGTACTCTTATTAATACAATACAATACAAGTACTCCCTCTATAAAAGAGCGAAAACTTTTGAATTTGTGGTGTAAAATGAGGCACATATATATTGTGTTGCTATAAATTATTATATCAAGGTAAATTTTTTTCAAATAAAAAAATGAGTCATTCTTTTTTGCACGAATTAAAAGAGAAATAGATTCACGTAAATATAAACGGAGCGAGTAGAATAGAGTCAACTCTGTATATGGAAAAATGAACACAGGATGACTGTATATCCACGCCTAACTGTACGTCATAATCTCTTATCAAGTAGGATAAGGGAGTTCATTTTCAAACACCTTAAATTTATAATTGCAGCAGACCGAAAAATAAGGAGTAAATTTCTCGGGTGGTTATTCAATCTTATATTTATTACGTAAAAATTATTTTTTTTTGTTACATAAAAATTATTTAATTTTGTGTTTATTACTCAAAAGTCATTTTTCTTTCTTTTGTTATATAAAAATTATTTTACTTTGCTCTATTTATGTAATGCCTTCTATATTATATACTATATAATATATATTTATCTAGGTATTTTACTTATAATTAAAATAAATTATTTTATTTATTACTTTTATAATATATCCATACATTTACTTTTTCCATGGCACTCAATTTGTTTAATGATATTTAAACATGAACATATTTTAAATATAAAAATAATAAAAAATATTTATTTTTAATATTTATTTAAAATAAAAAAAAACATATATGATTAACAAATGATAGATTTTTTATAGTCAATAAAAATTTTAACAGAAATTTCAAAGATATTTATGCTTAATATTAAATTTTTTAAAGCTTTATCTGTTAATATTATTTATTTAAAAGTATTAATCTGATGTGTCATTTTTTTAAATATGAGTATTTTATTTATTAAATTAATAGGTATGGCTTGGCTGATAAATCAATGAGCTTTGATTTTTTAATTTTCATTAAACACATTTCACTAGGCATGATTAAGAACGTGGATTTGAGATTTGTTCACGGTAATATTACTTATATATCTTGAAAATTGATATTAAGAAAAAATTAAATGTGCGAATATATTATAAAAATAATAAATAAAATAATATTAAGTTACTTTAATTATAAGTAAAATATATGGGTAAAAGTATGTTTTATAGCATATAATATAGAAGGTATTACATAAATGAAAGGATTTATAATTTCATGGGCATAATAGACTTTTTAGGTGAAAGGTTTGTAAAATCTGGTCAAAGTGATTATTGTGAAAACTAAAGCATAGTAAAATAATTTTTGTGTAACAAAAGAAAGAAAAGTGACTTTTGAGCAATTAATATAAAGTTGAATGACTTTTAAGTAACAAAAGAAATAAAAGTGATTGTTGAGTAATAAATATAAAGTTGAATGACCAACTATGAAAGTTAGTGCATATCTTATCTTTTTCAATAATTTCTTTTCCATTTTGTTTTGATGACCCCGTATTTTCCGCCAATTCTGTCAATTTAATTGTCTCTTCATATATACGATATAAACCATTGAAGAACTGCATACATCTCATTAGGACAGTCTTACAGTATCACAATAAGCAAATGAGAATAATATACCGTTCCCTCTGTTTCAATTTATGTGAATATATTTCCTTTTCAATTCGTGCCAAAAAGAATGACTTATTTACTTATTTGAAAATAATTTATCTTTATGCCATGATTTATAACCACACAATATATGTGCCTCATTTTACACCATAAATTTAAAATTTTTATCTCTTTTCTTAAATTTCGTGCCCACTGAAATGAGTTCATATAAATTGAAATAGAGGGAGCATATACATGAAAAAGTAAGTGTCGTATCATCTTACGTGGCGACACGTCAAGTCTATGCGATAGTTTGTCACCAAACAACAAAACAACGGGCAGAGGCAGAATTGGTGAACTTAGACGGAACTCTTATTTCTATTCATTTTGTCTCCCCCACCCAATATAAGCGAAGGTAAGACAAATTTTGAATTGATAAAATTGCTTAAACATTTGATAATTGCCTTTTTCTGGATTTAATCACAGTATTATACAAGTGCATGTGGACTTCTAAGGTTTTACTTTTTCGCCTTAACGTAGTAGTTCATACATGTTACTAATAGTTTGATTTTAAATGCGTAAAATTAAATATTTTAGTAATCCTGATCATTAACGTATGTTGGCTGAAATCCATATATATTACTCGGAAAATTGCCGTCCAACACTACCATTTGAGAGCAAATCAGTGAATCAATAAGGACCGATGAAAACAAGATGGAAACATTTCATTTTGCAACTTTCCTTCCACTTTGTGAATGGGCGGTTTGACGATCTCAATGCTGATGCAGAAATATTTATTTGTATAGTATTACTAAAATATGAACTGCTCCAAGGATGTCTCTTGGGGTGTACAACAAAAACTAAAATTGAAATTGAGCCAAATATATATATATATA